TCACATTTTTGTAAATATTTTATTATATCTTTTCATGTGACAACACTGAAGAAATAACACTCTGCTACAATGTAAAGTAGTAAGAGCACAGCCTGTATAACAGTATACATTTGCTATCCCCTCAAAATAACTCAACAGACATTAATGTCTTAACAGTGCAAATATCCAAATTGGGCCCAATTAGCCAAGGTTTCTAACATCCACCAGCTCTATGATGTCGTCATGGAGGAGTGGAAGAGGACTCCAGTGGCAACCTGTGAAGCTCTGGTGAACTCCATGCCCATGAGGGTTAAGGCAGTGCTGGAAAATAATGGTGGCAACACAAAATATTGACACTTTGGGCCCAATTTGGACATTTCCACTTAGGGGTGTACTAATTTTTGTTGCCAATGGTTTAGACATTAATGGCTGTGTGTTGAGTTATTTTGAGGGGACAGCAAATTTACACTGTTATACAGGTTGTACACTTACTACTTTACATTGTAGCAGACAGGGCCGGACTGGAAATGCAAAGCAGCACTGGAAAAAAATGTATGTCATTGTGCCACAGTAGTGTTTGTTGTGTGTGTGTGTGTGTGTGTATATATATATATATATATATATATATATATTATACTATTATACACAAACACCGCCGTGGCACAATGACTTAGAGGGCTGGCATACATTTTTTTACACAGATTTTATAAATATATAAAGTCTATGTTTATGAATTAGAATTACTCAATCTGGGGTAGCAAGACAAAGCCATATTTTAAATGTTATAAAGGGATATTTAGTATTATCACGCAAGGATATATACACTGAACAAAATTATAAACGCAACACTTTGTTTTTGCCCCCATTTTTCATGAGCTGAACTCAAAGATCTAGGACTTTTTCTATGTACACAAAGGCATATTTCTCTCAAATATTGTTCACAAATCTGTCTAAATATGTGTTAGTGAGCACTTCTCCTTTGCCGAGATAATCCATCCACCTCTCAGGTGTGGCATATCAAGATGCTGATTAGACAGCATGATTATTGCACAGGTGTGCTTTAGGCTGACCACAATAAAAGGCCAATCTAAAATGTGCAGTTTTATCACATAGCACAATGCCACAGATGTCGCAAGTTTTGAGAGAGGGTATAATTGGCATGCTGACTGCAAAGGAGAAGTGCTCGCTAACAAAGATTTAGACAGATTTGTGAACAATATTTGAGAGAAATAGGCCTTTTGTGTACATAGAAAAAGTATTAGATATGTGAGTTCAGCTCATGAAAAATGGGGGCAAAAACTAAAGTGTTGCGTCTATAATTTTGTTCAGTGTGTATATATATATATATATATATTTATATACACACGTTTATTATTGGTATGTAATAAAATTAAATTATACAGTAAGCATAATCACATGCAGTCACAGACAATCTCACTAACATAAGCACACAAGTTCACTGGTACACAGACTTACAGACAGGCAATCTCACTGACACACACAAGCTCATTTACAAACACATACAAGCTCACAGGTACACACAAGCTTACTACAGACAAACTCACTGGCATACACAAAGATGCTTACTACAGACAAGCTCACTGGTATACCCAAAGATGCTTACTACAGACAAGCTCACTGACACACAAGCTCACTGACACACAAGCTCACTGACACACACATCACTACAGACAAGCTCACTGACACACAAGCTTACTACAGACAAGCTCACTGACACACACATCACTACAGACAAGCTCACTGACACACGCACACCCAAGCTCACTACAGACAAGCTCACTGAGACACACACCCAAGCTCACTACAGACAAGCACATTGACACACACACACGCTCACTACAGACAGGCTCGCTGACAAACACATACCCAAGCTCACTACAGACAAGCTCACTGAGACATACACACACCCATGCTCACTACAGACAAGCTCACTGACACACACACACACACACACACTCACTACAGACAAGCTCACTGACATACACACACACACATACAAGCTCACTGACATACACACACATGCTCACTACATACAAGCTCACTGACACACACATGCTCACTACAGACAAGCTCACTGACACACATACAAGCTTACTTCAGACAAGCTCACAATAGCAGGCACACACACACACACACACACAATTACTCTCACCCACTAGCTGCAGTGTATTTGAAGGCTACCTGGCACTGTAGGCTGCTGCTGTGGAAGCCCTGGGAGGTGAGAACTCAATTTCCTGCCCTGAGGTCAGCAGCTTGAGATGGGGGTGGGGGATTGCAACATGTGGGCGGAGCTTGCGATCGGGGGCAGAGCTTGCGTGCCAGAAAGCACTCTCCCTGCAGTGCTCCCTCTGGCCGCTCCATCCTCAATGTGGCCGCACCGGCCCCAAGCTCCGCCCTCCATAATTCCATCGAACTCTCACATTCTGAGGGGTAACTTACCAAATGATATTAGTTATAGGTATTAGGGCTCTCTCCACGGCCCCAAGTGCTGCAGCCCACCGGGAAATTTCTCGGTATCCCGTTGGGCCAGTCCGGCCTCGGTAGCAGAGTATCATTTCTTCAGTGTTGTCATGAAAAGATAAAATAAAATATTTACAAAAATGTGAAGATACTTTTGTGAGATACTGTATGTAGGGATGTATTCAAGTGGAGTGGTGGTGTTTGATTTCAGTGGTGTTTTTGTGTAGTGTCTTGTGTTTGAACATAGAAATGTTTTAATATGGAGTTTGTCTTTGAAATTGCAAGTGTGTATTGCTTGTGTATGCTGGTGTATTAATGCAGGGGTGTATTCAAATATGAACACAAACAAAGATATGTTCAAAGAGTTACACACATCGACACACACAAACATTTACACATACTCAGGGCTATTCATTTCACTTTGAATTCTCACTTTAGTAAATAACCCATACAGACACACTTACAGATACACAAACACAAATACACACATTAAAAATTTAATTAAGAAATCAAATTTTTTAGCTACTCTCCTGTTTTAACACTTTTTAGATACAGAAGGGTAGCTTCCTTGTTGTCCAATGGAAGCATATTGCATTATTTGAGGGTATGCTGAAGTGGATTGGATGCCTTTGGTTAGAGTTCTCCCTCTTCTCTCCCCTCCCTCCTGTATCCCAGCATAGCATATGCACAGGGAACAACTAGTGTGACACTAAGGGGCGGTGTTACTTTAACCCCTTAAGGACACATGACATGTGTGACATGTCATGATTCCCTTTTATTCCAGAAGTTTGGTCCTTAAGGGGTTAAAGACACACTGTCAAGTCCCTCGGAAGTGTCTCCCTTCACACTGCTATTTAAGTGATCCTCAGTTGGGAGCACACACTTAGCCGAATATCAGATTGGTGTATTAAAAAATGGATTTGCAAATTATTAAAGCTTTAAAGGGACACTAGAAAGCACTAGTCTCCCAATGCTCTCCCATGGGAAATCATTGGATTGGCTGAGATCATCAACACATATGCTCACAGACAAATAGGTGGTGCTTCACAGAGGAGATCATCACTGGGTGTCTAGGACACTACTTAATTAGGAATACATATTTGTATTCCTCACATTTTAGTGTTCCTTTACGTTCCAGATACATTTTATATTAAGCAATGAGTTTGTATGTACCAATACTGGCACTCTCCGTAACTTGGTGCAGACTGTGCAGTTAGAACATGTGGTAGCAATTACTACTTTGTCAACACAACCAGGAAATAAAGAACGAGGTGGAGTCCTGTATGTGTAAGAAGAGTATCCATACAACTGAATCTGTATCTTATAAAGTCTCTCTCTCTCTCTCTCTCTCCATATATATATATATATATATATATATATATATATATATATAGTGACTTTCATACTTTGTTCTTCCTATCAGGATATATATAGGATATATTGGGTTTATTCTTTAAACAATACACTGCAGTAAACTGAAATCTGAATTGGAAAATTCAGTTTAAAATAGCCAAACTGTGACCAAGGACATACTAAAGAGGGGGCAGTCTTAAGGTTGTTCTGTGTGGGTGTCCCCATTTGCTAGTGCACTGTCACATTTTGGAGATGGCTGAAAGGAATTTTTATAGATACTTACAGATGTTGTACTCAGTCTTACAATGAAGTTCCAAGTGTAGTGGTACTCTGTGAGTGGAAGGTACAGTAACATGACTTAATCGTATATCCCACCTCTACATCCTCTCACATTGAATGTAACATGTTTAAACCTCCACTGTGAGGGAGGTGGAGGACAAAGTACACACAACAGATATATAGACTGAAAAGACACAAGGGCTGGGAGCAAAAAGGCACAAAAGGAGTGGAGAGACACCAAAGGGAGGAGGGTATTACGTTAAGGGAGAAAATTGTAAGGCGAGAGAAAGTGCCGGTATCAAAGCGCAGCAGTATTTAGTGAGAACACCGCCTGGTAAAACAACAAGGATTAATATAATAAAACTGAAGAGGTGCTTATCTATGACATATGACTTCTTCAATATTATACCACGATATTATACCTAACGTTTATGGGAAGACCGTATATTGTGAAACCGTGAGTAATACTCTGTTAAAAAGCTTCTGACAAAGATACTCCTCTGTACCCCCACCCTGATGTACTAGTATTGTTTCAACCTTGCTGACCTGCCTGATTTTTTTTTTGTCTAAAGAAAACAATAACTAAGGCTTAATATAATAAACCCCTGAAGGAAAACTGCATAACAAGAATCCAGGTGAACTAAAGAAAGGAGAAAAGGAAAGAGAAAAACAAAACAAAAAAAAGGGGGGTGAAAACAGGGTGAAAGGGGAGACAAAGACAGAGTATTAAAGCTTAAGGAAAGCTTAAGAAGTAAGAAAGAAGCAAAAAAAAGAGAATTAAAGGCAAGGGAGAAGAACATAAGGAAAGGGGAGGTAAAATCACAGAGAAAAAAATAATATATATTTTTTTGGAGACTTTATTTTTTCCTTTCTTTGTTATCAGGCACATAACCTAAACAAGACTTAAAATGGCGAATAGGAAACCTCCTGAGAAACATCTAAAAAAGTATAAGAAAATAACTAAGGAGCAAGACCAGAAAAAGGATGATAATATAGGAACATCATTATTTTACACATCAACTTATAGAACAACTATAAATAATATTGAAGATTCATCCCTACAAGATGATGATGAGAGTATTATTGAATCTATTAATATAGGAGAGTCGCAGATCAATTCACCAGCAATACAAAGACATGGGACAGTTACTCCAAAACATCTAGAGATAGCACTATCACAACTCTTGGAACAATTAAAAGCTGAGATCCAAACAAATTCCAAAGGAATTAAGGGAGATATTATAGAACTTAGCTCTAGAGTTGAAAAGATGGAAGAAAAAAATCGACTCATCTCTCCAAACAAATAAAGAGAACAAAGAACAAATCACCAAAGTCGAGAATAAAGTGGCTACTCTTGAATTAAAATCTCTGAGCTAGAAGATAGATCGAGATGCCTAAATTTACGCTTCAGAAATATTGCAGAAGATATCTCCCAAGATAGTCTGGAAGAATTCCTTATAGAATTTTTTGAAAATATGGGAATAAAATTTATAAGAAAAGACCAAGTAATAGAATGTGTACACCGTGTCTTTAAACCAAAATCGGTTTCGCCCTCGGCTTATAAACATAAAGAAGAAGTTTTAAGCAAACAAATTGAACCTAGAAAGAGAAAATACATTTGAAAATATCCAGATATTCAAAGATCTGTCCTACACAAGGCAATTTAGAAGATGTTTTGCACCTATTACATAGATTATGAGAGAGAAGAATATCCCTTATAATTGGGGCTTTCCTACAAGCTTGATAATCCAAGATGAAGGTAAAAGAAAATCCTTCTTAAAACCAGAGGAAGTGAAATTATGGATGGAAAAATTAGGAGCCTGATGAATGCAGGAAGAAGAACAGAGGATAGGGGGAGAAGGAATAGGACAAGAGAAGGAGAAGTGAAAGTAAAGGGAGAGAGAGAAACAAAGAAATTAACTGTGAAAGAGAAATAAAAGATTATATGCACTTCTATATAGTGGAAAATGTATTCATACTTACCGTAATTTTCTTTTCCTGGCTATTATTCATGGCAGCATATACACATGGGTTAGCTCCTCCCCTACAGCCGATAGGACAGGAAAACCACCAAGGTTTTAAAAGGAGGCTCCATCCCTAAGGTCCTCAGTCAGTTTACAAGCTCTACAGTACATAAATAGAGACATTAATGGGTGGGAAGTATATGCTGCCATGAATAATAGCCAGGAAAAGAAAATTACGGTAAGTATGAATAAATTTTCCACTTTCCTGGCTAATCATGGCAGCATATACACATGGGGAATACCCAAGCTTACAAAGGGAGGGACAGAATAGCCAATCAAATTATCAGAATAATTCAACATAGATAGAAGAATGAACTGAGTTAAGTACTTGAGTACCAAATTGTGCATCATAGACTGTTTTAACGAACAGTATGAAATGCCAGACAAACGTGTCTAAAGAGTTTCAAATGCTAGCTTACAAAAAGTGCCAGCAGAAACCATTGCCATGGCAACCCATGATGCTGCAACAGCATGAGAGGAGAGTGCCCTGATACCCTCCAGCACAGGTAGAGAACGGACGTGACGTCCAAATTGTGCCTCATTAATTGCTTCAATGTCCAATATGTAATGCAGGACAAACTAGTTCAAAGAGATCCAAATGCCAACTTTACAAATCTTCAGCAGAGACCATTGCCATGGAAGCCCACGATATGCTATAACAGCACTAGTGGAGAATGCCCCAAATCCTTTGCTACAGGTAGAGAACTGCATTGAAAGGCTCTCACTTTAGGCACGATCACTGGTGCTACATGCAAGACAACCATATCCTGTTGAAATTCAGTGAATGGGGGTACACAGGATCAAGCCTGGAGTTCACCCATTCCCCTTCCTGGGATACAAGCCACCAGCACTTTCTGTGCTACCACCATGGAAGCTCCTTCTAGAGGTTTGAATAATGGTTCAGTCAGGGCCCGTGAGACCAGTGGTACGTCACATATTGGCTTCACCACACTCAGTGGAGGCATGATTTCAATCAATGCCTATATGAAGCAAAGTGTAGCTAAGTGCACACATTCACCCTGCTGAGGTACCAGTCACCAGCAACAGCAACGTCTGGGCTAACATCATGGAAGCTCCTGCTAGAAGTTCAGTCAGAGTCTGTGAGACCAGTGGTACATCACATATTGGTTTCAACACCCTCAGCGGAGGCTTGAATTCAATTGTTGCTTACATGAAGCAAAGCACCAGGGGCATCAATGCTCAATCGGTACCCTTCAGTACAGGTAGAGAATGACATAGATAAGCATTCACCATAGGCAGGATCTTCAGGTGCCAAATGCAAGACGACCATACCTGTTGAAAAGTAGTGAAAGGGGGTTCACAGGATTAAGCCTGGAGTTCACCCATTTTCCTTGCTGGGGTACCAGCCACCAGCACTTTCTGTGCTACCACCATGGAAGCTCCTTCTAGAGGTTCGAATAATGGTTCAGTCAGGGCCCGTGTGACCAGTGGTACGTCACATATTGGCTTCACCACACTTAGTGGAGGCATGATTTCAATCAATGCCTATATGAAGCAAAGTGCAGCTAAGTGTTCCTCTAGAGTGTTATAACACAGAACCTTTCAAGGCCTGAACGAGGAGTAATTCCAACAGACAAAAGCATGTCAAGCTTAGTAAAGCCTGTATAGGATTGTAAGAGGATCTCAATGAACGTCTCAGGGATGCCTATACTAATATGGACTCCCACATCAACACCAGAACTTGAGGATCCTGGTGTGTCATGGGGCCTTGTAATAGGTCTGGACGTACAGAAATTTCCCTTGGGGGTTCCAGAATCATCTTATTCATCATAGGAATTAGAGTCGACACGGTCTTCCACTGTCACCTTTTGCATTGCCTTTTTAAGAAGGTCGAAAACAGGAAAATATGTACATCAGACTAAAATTCGAAATTTGAGCCAGTGTATCCTGAACCTGAGCATTCTGGTCCTAGCATGTAAAAAATACTTCTGGACCTGATAGTTCCAAGAAATGGCCATCAGATCTATGTAGGGTATCAGACAATCTGCGTCAACCACGAGGATAAGTCAGGACATGGTTGCCAATCCACCTTGTCCACAGTTATTCGGCTCCAGCAAACAGCCATGGTATTCTGAGCCACTGGTTGTTCTTCTGTGCCCTGATCATTATGGGCTGGAATTCCATCAATACGTATCTGTGAGACCCATCTTGGTAGATATAGGATACAGTTGCATTGATATTTGAGCAAATTTGGACCCACTCGTTCTTCAGCAAGCCTCTGAAGTGAAGAAGAGTCTTGAAAATGACTCTTAATTCCATACAAATGAATGGAAATATTGTGCAACATGGTCCAAACACTGTGTAACCAATCTTATAAAAACTGGAATTCGAGCTAATAATTGACCAATGAGGTTCTGTTCACTGGAAACTCAGATCTAATCCCTCTTTCAGCTGCCAGGGTAAGGTGCAACTCCACTGATGGGGACATAGTAAGTGGCTGGCTCCAATAATCTTTCTCTTGTTAGACCAAGATAGGAAGGATCTGTAAGGAATCCAGAGATGCCATTGGGCACATCTGACAAGTCTGCTGGTGGAAGCCAGGATTCCTAGTAGTTGCCTCTATTTTCTTGCTGTTACCAAGCAGAAATGAAGAAACTGGGAGAGAAAACCTTTACAATCTGTGGAACTGTTCCCGAGATAGGGAAAAGCAGAGCCTAGTATTTTCCACTCAGGAATGTCAACCACTGAGCTGGTCTGAAACTGCTTTTCTTGATATTCATCAAGCAGCCAAACTTTAGGAGTTATGAAAGAACTATATACCTATGTGTGCCTGCCTTCTGAGGGTCTAAGGCTATCAGAGGTAGATCCTCCAGATAATGGAACCAGGTGGAGTTCTGGACTCTCAATAACACTATAAGCAGATAGAAAGATCCTTGGTGCCGCATTGAGGCCAAATGGTAGGGCACTAACATGGAAGTTCTCTTCTGAGCTAATGCTGAAGATCTCTGCAGATTGGACTGAAAGTAAGCATCCTTGAGATATATAGAGGTAAGGAAATTATCCTTCCAGATTGCTTGAGATATGGATCTGATTGACTCCATCCCGAAAACTCTAACATTCAGCCTCTTGTTGGCCCCTCTTAAGTCCAGTGAAGGCTTACATGTGCTTTTCCTCTTAGCACCAGAAGAGAGGCGAAACTTGTCCCTGGAACTGCTCTTGTTCTGGGACCTAAAGTTTTGTTTTTTTTTTCTCTTCGTCTAGAAGGCTTCTTCCTTCAGTGTTTTACCTTTTGATTCATTGGTCTTAATACTCCTGTTGGTATGGAGACTCCTGTGCCCGTTAAGAAAAAACTCCAGTCTATATCAATCTGGACCATGGATACCACTCAAGCCTCCAGAGTATGACAAGCCCAGGTATGTGTGATCAGAAAAATGAGGCTCCTAGTACTGGAGGAGATATGTTCATTGCTGAAGAGCAAAACGACTGTGTTATAGCTCCATTAGAACCTTGAAAGGCAGGTTTACCAACTGCCATGAGTTACCTCTGGAGTATTCCCTGCAGGGCCGGTAGCACAATGTATCTCAGAAATACTGGTCACTGGAGGTTCTCCGGTCAGACTATGAGGAGCTGGGATCCTTGGAACTTCCATCCTAAGGTACCAATATCTTGCAGCCCTCATTCGCCTTTTCAATGGAATTATCAGAAGTTTTCCCAAACAGCACCACCCCTTCAAATAGAATGGTGTAGAGGGCAGACTTGGAGGATGAGACATCATCCCAGAAACAGAACCATAATGCTTTCTTAGTTGCTATAGATAAAGCCATTTGATCCAGAGAATATCCTAGTTACATCTAGGGAAGTTTCTGTGAAGAAGTCCGTTGTAACCTGAAGACTTCAGACTGCCTCTTCAATCTTGGCTTTTAATATCTCTCTCCATAGTAGCCTTTAGATCTTTAATCACATATTTCATGTTTGTAGAAACAGCAGTGGAAGTCACAGCTGGCTGGCCTCCTATAATGGTAGGCGTAAAATTTTGGACAGGTCTGCGTCCACCTATGATCCATAAGTGTGCAACTTAGGTGGTGTAGTTCTGGGGTTGGAAATAACTTCCTCCACATGGTAAAGCCTGGTCTCTTTTCTTATCCCTAAGGCCTCTGGAACTTACTTTGTAAGCCCTGCCCGCATGTCATGTGGCTGCACAGTGATAGGACATGCTGAAGCGACAACCTTCTGGAGGAAGTCAGTGCATAACCGATTCCATCCACTGTTTTCTCCTCATAACCAGATCCTGGTGAAGAAACAGACACCTGACAAATAATAAC